TAAACCATGTACACGCCGACTTATTTTTACTTAAAAAAACATCCCAGAATTGCACAAAAATGGCATTGCGCACACTCTTCACTATATCCATGTACACTGCTTTTTTCTCATAAATTAGAAAAATTTCACGAAAATACATGACAATTTTCTCAATCTTTAAACCCGGTAAAAAGAACATATATGAAATTACCTGATCGCGAAAAAGTATTTACCCTTTCCAAATATGAACATTTCCACATATAAAATAAATAAAATATCCAAAAACTTTTACCTCTAAATCATCTATTACATTATACACGTCACCAACGAATTCATACCGCAAGCATTACAAATACTTAGTATCAAATATTTAAATTATTTCCATGCACGTTTACTTCAACTTAAACGTATACCAAATTCCTACAAACATAAAATTCACAAAATAACTATCATTTAATTAAAATATCACTAAACCATGTACACGTCGACTTATTTTTACTTAAAAAAACATCCCAGAATTGCACAAAAATGGCATTGCGCACACTCTTCACTATATCCATGTACACTGCTTTTTTCTCATAAATTAGAAAAATTTCACGAAAATACATGACAATTTTCTCAATCTTTAAACCCGGTAAAAAGAACATATATGAAATTACCTGATCGCGAAAAAGTATTTACCCTTTCCAAATATGAACATTTCCACATATAAAATAAATAAAATATCCAAAAACTTTTACCTCTAAATCATCTATTATATTATAAACGTCACCAACGAATTCATACCGCAACCATTACAAATACTTAGTATCAAATATTTAAATTATTTCCATGCCCGTTTACTTCAACTAAAACGTATACCAAATTCCTACAAACATATAACTCACAAAATCACGATCATTAAATTAAAATATAATTAAATTAAAAACACTACTTAAAATATAAATAAGCACATACATTAAATTAATAAAAATTAGCTTACAATCCTAATTACTTTAAACTAAATCATTGCTAATAACAATTTTCCAATAATACCATATTAATTTATTTAGTCCTTACATTTAGAACAATGCATAAAAATAATATCCTCAAATGATTAAAAATACTAACTTACCTAATCTTCTACAGAATCTTGAGTGCATGGCGGATCACAAAATGTCCATTTTCACCAGATTTCTTGCACCGCCATTCAAACTTATCTGTAATATCCTTCCTTTCACACAATCTCATTTCATTCCCACATGTTGGACATTCATACTTATCCGCAATTAAATTACACTCATACACCATTCAACCAATTCTTTTGGATTATCAGATAAACGCATTAAAAATTTAGAATTCACTTTAGATAGCGCCATGCGATCCAAAAATTAATCAACACTCTTTCACACAACACACAATGAAGCTTAATACAAAATACTATAGTACTGCAGATATTTTTCCAAAATTCCCCCCTTTTCCGATTAAAGAACTGTAATTCGTCCATTAATGTCACATAACATATCTCATGATCTCTCATTTCCCTCACACAAAATAATGCGTAATCGGAACTGAGTACTTCTCACATTATTCCCAAAGTCCTAGGTAGTAAATTTTACCACCTCCAAAATGTCGCCAAACTACCTGTTACCATATTCCAAAGATTAGCCGATAAAGGTTAGTAGCTAGGACTTTAGCACTGTAACATGGATAAAGTCAAGAGTGTGTGCAATGCCATTTTTGTGCAATTCTGGGATATTTTTTTAAGTGAAAATAGGTCAACGTGTACATGGATGATACTGTGCATGTGCAATTCTTAAAAACACTGCAAGCAGTGGGCGATTCTGCACTTTCTCCCAATTTCGCACCTAATCTTCATCATAATTAAGCACTTTTGTTCCATTAAAGTTCTAGCATAAGCGTAATTCGGCTAGCGGATTGTTGGAAAAAAATGTTGAGTTAAAAAAAAAAAAAAAAAAAAAAAAAAAAAAAACATGCCTTTACTTTGTGAAAACAAAATGGCGTCCAAACAAAAACTAGGAGGTTGCTGTAGCAGGGTTGGTCGCCAAATTTTCGCCAAAAAATTGCCAAGTTACCATAATCAAAAGACTAACCCAAGTTTCTTTCAACACTGCATAAAGAACATAGAAGTTTCTGGCTCTAGTGTAGAATTGAGTGCCCTCCGATTAGTAACAAATTTTGTTCAATTTACCATGATAGTTTTAACTTTGTTTTAGTTTCCTGATTATTGTAAATGAAAATAGATCAATGTGTACATGGACAAAGCTAAGGCAATAAACAATGCCTAGTTTGTGCAAATCTCCAATATTCTTTTAAGTGAAAATAGAGCAATATGTACATGGACACCAGGTTTGTGCAATTCTTCGACTTCTTATTTAGCGACCATCTTAAAATTGTGCCTTCCTGGCACCGATCTTAGCATTTAAAAGAAATCGAAAAAAAAAAAAAAAAAAAAAAAAAAAACAAGGGGACACACAATTGTTAACTTCTACCCAGTTTTTGAATATATATGTACTATATTTGAGTTTCTTACCTGCATCGAAATACCACAATACTGATTCATTTTTTCAAATGTCATCTTAGGTACTTTACACACATTGCACTGCTCTACTTGGTATGTCCAGGATTTGAAAGAATTTTATCTTACAAGACCTCATTTCCCTTTATCAGTATAATGTGATAACCGTATACCACTTTTAGAATGTTATACACTCGAGACATTTGATACTGCAGCTGGATAGTCATACTGAGAATATTTCCTGATAATAGATTTCATTAGATAAAAAATATGTAAAAAAAATGGAACTGTCTAATTTGACTGCAGGTCTTTAATATTTTAACACAGTAAAGAAATCATCTAATATATTATTTCATTACAGGTTCAAGAAAGGCATCTCTATCATTAATTCAATAGCTTTCATTGATAAACTCTGAAATGTCTTTAGCACAAAGAAGATACAAGTTACAATACACATATGGGATGAAGCATTTCGCCCTGCTCCAGAATTGCATCTCAGAAGTATGTCAAATTGGTAACGATCATATCATCACAACAGTGCATTTTGCTAGGTAACAGACGTAACACTGAATATGAGTGATACAAAAATCTGTGAAAAGTGATATCTAGGGTCAAAAATTCAAATTTCCGAAAAGGTGGAAGAAACACAAAACACTTCATGGCAGATCCTGAACAAAACAACAATCCCAGCTTTTTCAATCAAGGTCGGTATAAGCAGTTTTAGAGTCTTTAAGGTAGGATAGATAAGCAAATGTAGCTTCAAGTCAGCATTAGTTAAAAATGCAATTGAGATAAAACTTGCATAAACGTAGTTTTTTGCTTTTTTAAAAAAATAATTAGATTATGATTTATTTATATCAAATGACAATTCAAAAACTTCTCTACAGCATCAGCAGCACCCAGTTTACTTTTAAATCTAAAACTCTGCCACTAAATGGCTCTTTTATTACCAAGAATTTTCCCATCAATTAATTATGACAACATACTAATTTAACATCTCCTCAAAAGACAGAAGGCTTCTCTTCTGCTTAGATCAACGCATATTTTTTCGAATTATTCTGCTGTCCAAATGAATTCTTCTATACATGACAGATTTCCCTCTTCTGTCGATACGCATATCTTAAAAATCCTTTAATAAAAATCAATTTATCCATATTTTATACACAAGTCTTCTCTCTCGAGTGAATACGTATATGAGTGTTTAAACTACTCTTCTGATTAAATGACTTCTTACATACTTCACACACATGAGGTTTCTCTCCTATGTGACTAAGCATGTGCTTCTTTAAATCACCCTTTTGTTTAAATGACTTCGTGCATACTTCACACACATTAGGTTTCTCGCCTGTGTGAATACGTGCATGAGTGTTTAAATTACACTTCAGACTAAACGACTTTTTACATACTTCACACACATGAGGCTTCTCTCCTGTGTGAATACGCATATGGCGGCTTAAATAAGACTTCTGACAAAAGGACTTCTTACATACTTCACATACATGACGTTTCTCTTCTGTATGAATAAGTGCATGAGCGTTTAACTTGCTCTTCAGACTGAATGACCTCTTACATACTTCACACACATGAGGTTTCTCTCCTGTGTGAATAAGCATATGGGTGTTTAAAGTAGACTTCTGACTAAATGACTTCTTACATACTTCACACACATGAGGTTTCTCTCCTGTGTGAATAAGCATATGGCTGTTTAAAACACTCTTCTGACTAAATGACTTCTTACATACTTCACACACATGAGGTTTCTCTCCTGTGTGAATAAGCATATGGCTGTTTAAAGTAGACTTCTGACTAAAGGATTTCTTACATACTTCACACACATGAGGTTTCTCTCCTGTGTGACTAAGCATATGCTTGTTTAAATTGATCCTTCCGTTTAAATGACTTCTTACATACTTCACACACATGAGGTTTCTCTCCTGTGTGAATAAGCATATGGCTGTTTAAAGTAGACTTCTGACTAAAGGATTTCTTACATACTTCACACACATGAGGTTTCTCTCCTGTGTGACTAAGCATATGTTTGTTTAATTGATCCTTCCGTTTAAATGACTTCTTACATACTTCACACACATGAGGTTTCTCTCCTGTGTGAATAAGCATATGCTGTTTAATGAGACTTTCTGACTAAATGACTTCTTACATACTTCACACACATGAGGTTTCTCTCCTCTGTGAATAAGCATATGGCTGCTTAATGTAGACTTCTGACTAAAAAATTTCTTACATACTTCACACACATGAGGTTTCTCTCCTTTGTGAGTACGCATATGCTTGTTTAAAACCTCTTTCTGTTTAAATGACTTCTTACATACTTCACAAACATGAGGTTTCTCTCCTGTATGAATAAGCATATGGCAGTTTAAAGCTCTCTTCTGATTAAATGAGTTCTTGCATAACTCACACACATGAGGTTTCTCTCCTGTGTGAATAAGCATATGGCTGTTTAAAGTAGAGTTTTGACTAAAGGACTTCTTACATACTTCACACATATGAGGTTTCTCTCCTGTGTGAAAAAGCATATGCTTGTTTAAATCAACCTTTTTTTTAAATGACTTCTTACATGAGGTTTCTCCCTCGTGTGAGTAAGCATATGTATGTTTAAATTACCCTTCTAGTGAAATATCCTCTTACATATTTCACATATATAAGGTTTCTCTCCTGCGTGAGTAAGCACATACATGTTTAAACCGATCTTTTTACTTAATGATTTCTTAAATACTTCACATAGATGAGGTTCTTCTCCTGTGAGAATAAGCAGATGATTGTCTGAATTAGTCTTTTAACTAAATGTCTACATACCTCACATCTAAGAGCTTTCTCTCCAATGGGAATTAGCATATGCACCTTTAAAGTGCTTTTTCGACTACATGACATGCTACAAATTTCATACATATGAGGTTTTTGTTCAGTATGGATATGCATGTGCTGTTTTAAATATTACCTCTTGAACATTATTTGTTACCTTGTTACAAACCCTGAACCTAGAACATCCTCCTCCTAAAATATGCAATTTCTGCACTTTCCTGATAACTGTATCTGACATTCTTAATATAACTTGCTACGCATCTCGTGATGAATTTCACCCTCTGAAGGAATGTAAAACTGGCTGCTAAACAGAAATTTCGGTAAAAGTAGTTTTCAAGTTGGTTTATTCTAGCATTTAATGTCTCATGTAAACAGGCTTTTTTCTTTTTTTGTAAAAGGATCAACACAAATTATTCATGTGACGTATCAGCTGCTTGCTATTAGGACACCTTAAGAATGCCTTGATTTCCAATAATGTTTAATTGAAAATTAATTTCTTATAGTTCACAAAAATTACACTTCTTGCCCGATCACATATACATGTTTAAACAGGAATTTGTAAAACTGGGTCACATATGGTATGTTATGCTACCTGAAACTTTTGTACAGTAGCTACCCAATGATTTATAACTTGAAGAAGTTACATGTCACGTTAGAAATTTAGTAACAACTCTTAAAGCTTACACGGAAAAAAGTAATCCGCTTTCAAGATTTGAATACTAAGCAGTATGAATCACACTTCAGCATGAAGTAAACTTTAATTAAAGAGTCACATTATAGTTTTAAAGCAGCCGCTACTAACATTAAAAAAAACTATAACTGCGGTAATTATTCAAATAATAAAATCAGTTTCAACGAAAACAAACCTTATTACCACGTAAGACAATTGGGAATTCGTTGTTGACAGGTTATCTTCACGAGAAAAAAGGGGGGAAAATTGGGAGGAGTTACGAGATTCTCTGGGTTGCATGAAGATCTACTAATAACTTTCTCGCCAAGTAATTTGGCGTCATCGGCTCATTCTCATTTCGGGAACTGTGGTTGAAGAGTGGTCTGTTTTTGATCCGTAAGTATGCTAAAATTCTACTATAAATTTTTAATACCTTGTTTTCCAAATTTACACATTTTGCTTGATTAATTTGAAGTTGTTTGTTTTTAGATGTGCGCAATGGCAAATTTCAGGTTATTCGTCAAATAACCAAGGTTTCTATTTCTCTGGTAAGTGTTTGCTTTATATCTTATATTTATTATTAAATATTGAAAAGTAATTTTTGCATGCGTATATTTTTTCATGCTCATTTTCTGTTTTATGTGCTGGTAGATTTCTGGCCGATTACCGTGTTTTTAGATAAATGCGCCATTTTCATTTAGGTCGCGTAGAGATTACTGTTTCCATTTTTTTTTTTTAAGTAACCACGAAAATTCTAACACATGTAAAAGCTTTACTAGTAAACTTTTGATTGAGGATATTTCAAGTAAATGTGCCATTTTTACTGAATTTGTGTAGAAGTTGCTCTTCGTTATGCCTTTTTTGAGCCAATATGTTAATTAGTTGTATTCTTTTAATGTGTTGTTTTGCAGATTAATGCAGTTTATTTGACAGATGTGTAATGCTGTTTGTTGAAAAATGCATTAGAACCAATGATGGTAAGATCTTGGCCTAGCAAATTGGTAAAATATTACCTGCTCTTAATTACTGAATCATATTGTAGGATAAAATCTGCTGTTTATGTATGAAAATTTGTACTTTATCTCTGATTATGTGGTATATGCCCAGAATTTCATTATTAATGATCGATTCATTAAAATTACTATTTTTAATTGTCTACTTTGTTTTGTGTTGCTGCTGCTCATTCTGCATTTTTTTTTTTTTTTTTTTTTGAGTAGATATAAAAATTAATTCTTGTTTTTATTTTTTTTCCCCCTCAATGTCTCTTTTTATTGTGCTGGTAAATTTTTGAGAAAATTTCAAGTAAATGTGCCGTTTTTACTTAGTTTGCGTAAAAATTGTTCTTCTTTATGCCTCTTTTGAATAAATATGTCAATTCTTGTTTGTATTATTTAATATCTTGTTTTGCATATTAACACAGTTTATTTGACAGATTGAGATGCGATTTGTTGAGAATATTCATTAAAACTAATGCGGGTAAGTTCTTGGCCTAACAGATTGGTAAAAGATTTTCTGATCTTAATTACTGAATTTTTTATTATATTCTAGGATAAAATTCTGCCTTTTACGTGTGAAAATTTTTATTTTATCTGATTATGTGCCAAATTTAATGATTCAAGAAAAATGCCATTTCTGTGTGTAGCTAGTTCGTTGTTGCTGTTCGTCATGCAGTTCTTTTGAATATGTATCAGTTTGAAAATTTATTCTTACATGTGTATTTTTCTCATCCATTTTTGCTGTGCACTTTTCCTGTGAATATTATTTTTATTTAGTCTATATAGAATTTGCTCTTTCTACCTTTTTTGAATAAGTATGATAATTAGTTCTTGTTTGTGTTATTTTAATGCCCAACAATTCACTTTCGAATGTTTGTTAATTATAGAAGCTAATTTTACTTTTTGCTTGCAGTTTTTAACTCTGTACCTTTTATCCAGACATAAATAACATCTGCCTTTTCATTTCTAAACTTAAAATATCGCAGTCGGGAAAAGGTTTCAATTTGAAAGGTAGTGGCTTTTCTAATTGCAAGAATTTCTCTTCAGAATTATAATTAACATAGGCTGTGCATTCTCTGCTAAGTATTTCATTTCTCGAAAAGTCTGGTAGACCTTTTAAATCGCAATTTTAATCTTTAATTTTTTGGATATAATTAAGAACGAATTCATTTGGAAGCAATTTAAAAAATAAAGGCATTAAAATATTTCTGTATAAATCAGTATGGTACTTTTCTGTTTCGCCGGCGCAAATCTCGCCAAGCGCACTTTATTGGCGACAACACATAATACACATAAAAATTGTCAAAAAATGTTGGTTCTAAGATTTTTTTTATTTTAAAGGCATAAACATTTTAATATCGTTTAAAGTTTTGTAAAAAGACAATAAATTTTTTAAAAAACATTAATTTAAGAATTTACTATGCTTTCATGGTACAACATCCTGATTCGCAGGTTCGTATCACGTGAACCCAAGTGATCTCATTTCACGTAATTCTTTGCTCAAACTACGCTACAAAAATCTAATTCTCTCAATGATTCAGTAATTATCTACAATAATTTCAAGTTACATTTTAATATGGAATACAAGTTTAAATGCAAGTATTATTTCAGTTCGTACGAAGCTTACTTAAGAATTATGTAAAACCCAGTACTTTACTTCGCTAGTGCATTCTCATTAGAATTGATGAATTTAACCCTTGATTTTATCTTTTCTATATTTTCGCCTTCGCTGAGCTGTGTGATTGCATCCTAATTGACTTAAATACCGCGAATGGCATTAGGGCATAAAATTGAACTTTCTGGTAAAAATTCTATGTAATTGTATGCCAGTATTGAAAGAAACAGTGGCGTAGCTAGGGTGGGGCAAGAGGGGACATCTGTCCCCGGGCGCAGCATCCAGGGGCGCCAAATTAATGCTATGAAATTTTTTAATGAATGTTTTGCATTCTTGACACATAGAAAAGGGCGTAAATTCTTCAGTTGTCGCCGGGCGCTGGAATCCTAGCTACGCCACTGGAAAGAAACAATCAATCTGATAAAAAAAATGGCTGCGATATGTTTTGAAGATGAGCGTAAAAGGTTACCAGCGGAGATATTCCGTTTGGCATCTGTTGTACCATTTTTGGCGAAGCATCTTTACTTTCTCCCAAAAGTCTTGCTATTTTTCAGATTTCAAGTTTGACTTCTGTGCCTTGTTTTGCAGGTTAACATGCTTTATTTGATTGCATAGAAGTTAACTTTTCGTAAAAAGGCCTTAATTATAGTATCATTATTGGTAAATTCAAGGCTTAAACAGATTGGTGAAATGTTTGACCTTAACTACTGAATTCTGCTAATTATATGGGATATGTCCATAATTTAAATTTTTTCCTAGTAAATCGATCAATTGGAACAAAATGTGAAATGAATTTATTAAAGAGTATGTCATTTGCTGTATTCATAAATTTCCAGCCATGTGTATCATTTAATAATTATTTGTTTTTATAAAAAAAAGTAGTAGCAGATGGTCCTACCAATTTGAATAAATATGGAATTTAGTTTTTAATAGTTTTATTTATTTCATGTAATTTATGATATTAAAGTATAAAGGCTATGCTCGTGGATTTTCTAGTAAAGGCAAGTTTCCAATAAATAGCAGTTTTTATTTGAGTATGGTGGTTGAGCTATTTATCCAGCATTTTTTTAGTATGAAGACTAATCATACTAAAAAAATTTGAGCATTTCTTTCAAGTAAAAATCAGTGTGTTATAGCTGTGCCAGTATCATTCTGCATAATGACAAAAGTTCATTAAATATGTTAGTGACATTTAAGTGTTGGTTTTGATTATCATGCAATACTGAAACTAAATTCAGAATTTCATTATTGACAAAAAAATTTTTTTTTTTTAATTCTGGGTATGAATGTCTGAGCATGTGTGTAAATTTTAAGTCATTCTGGATTTTCTTTCATTTGATTAATTCGTTAAACTTGCTGTTATCTGTAAAAAATTTTCCTATTGAACTTTACCCTTCGTTTTAGTGGCACAGGTGATAATAGATTTTTAACCCCCAAAAAATGAAAATTTCCAAGTGTGGCTATAGAGAGTATGCTCAAGTTCATAAAATAACTTAGTTTTTCTTTATCATCACCTTTCTGTTCGAGAAGCTTTTCTGCAGCATACAGTGACCATCCCTTTTCTATTATAAGAATACAGTCAAAAGTCTTTAATCTGGACGTCCATAATCCGAAATGATCTGGACCTCAAAGCTACAAACTTTCTGCGCATGCGCATATGCGTTTACGCATGCGTTTAATGTATAACGGACGGTATAAGCTAAGCTAAAATTATCTAATTATCTATTTCAGTTAATGTTGCAGATTGCGTTGTTCCTTAATCTTCTATATGGATCCGGCTTATTATTTTTTGTGGACTGTTAGAGCAATTTTATAAAAGTAAGCTTGAACTTTAGATTATGTCAAAAAGAATTTCTGATTCTGGAGCTGCCGAAGAATCTACAAAGTGAAAGCATGTTTTGATGTCCATCAAACAAAAAGTGGAATTGCTGCAAAAAAATGTATAAAGGCATATCCTTTGTTTCTCTAACCATTCCAAAATCTGTTTATCAATTTTACATCTCTCTGTGGGGGGGGGAGGAACATCACGGCGCACAATGAACTGGAAGTTGATCTGTCAGCACTATCCTTATATTCAGGGCAGATGTTTTTATTTTATTTCGGCTTATAATTCCTTACTAAATGTAGTATTTCATCTCAATGTACTCCGTTTTTGATTATGATTTAATCAAATTTCTCGTCATTATATTACGGATACACATCAAATAGTTTTCTGATTGCAATTTTCTAATTTCGATTATGCGTAATGTATTCTTTACGCATGCGCTTTGAAAGAAATGTTTAATAAAGTAAACAAATAAATAATTTTTTATTGTATATTTTAATACCCTTTAGATCATAATTGCTCTTTTTTTCATAAATTAAGTTTTCATATTTTTAATTTTATGTTTTCTTCATGCCATCTTACCAGATTTAAATTGATGATCTGTAATCCGGAATCGCCGAAGTCCCGACGAGTCCGGATTAAAGACTTTTGAGTGTAGTAATTTTAGAAATTTATCTGAATGTCTCCTGTGGACTTTCATTTAATAGATAACTAAAGCCAGTATGGAAATTAGGACATTTTGATATTGAAGAATAATTCATTGCTGCCTACTCTCCTTTTTTTAATTTTTAGTCTTAACAAAGGAAAATGTTTCTCAGAAATAAATGGAATGTATTTAATTAATTAAACTTAAATTAGGCAAATTCCATTCCCTCAATCTCTAATGATTTTCAGAATTTTTAAATTCTTTTTCATTTGGTCAGAGTTGTCTTAATCTGTAGTCATTTCTAAATTTTTATATGAAGATTTAAAAAATGGAATTAGCCAAATAATATAAGAATTAAATGTTAATATATTTTACAACAGAATTGAATTTCAAATAGTTCAAAAATCTAGTCCATGTAAATTTGAACTGAATTTTAATTTGATTTTTCTATTAATTCATTACATTTATTTAGGCGCCTAGAATGTGAACATGGTAAATAAAATGGCAAGTACCCATTCCTCAGTATATTTTGGTGGGGAAAAACTTCTGAAATTTATGTTCAGTTTGTAGTAATATTATTCAGTTAACTTCATATTTGTTTAGGAATTTCACAGGGTGGGTGATCTTCTGTGCAAGATACTGAGAAAATTTTGATATTCTTTATGCTAAGAATAATTTCAAGAATTAATAAATTTCAGTTTTTTTTTTATATGATAGACTGATTATTCAAAGTAATATACACCAAGGTCACCTTGGATGATCAAGAGCTTGTATCATACATGCATATTAACTGTTATAGGATAGCTATGGACTTTGGTCCTTCAAATTGTTTTATTAATATATATACAGTATTCAAAGAACTACAAAAGGGTGGAATGTAGTAAATAAAACATTTTTGCTTCTGATAGAAGTGTACAACTGACTGAAAAATGTAACAGCCATCATTTGAGAGATCTTTCTTAAGTATAGTACATACTTTTAAAAAATGAAACTGTATATATGAATTTTTGAAATAATGTAACATATTAAAAGAAGATAAATTATGTATTGAAATGAATTATGCATTCAGTATTCCAATAAATTTTCCATTTTATACATTCTTAAATCAATATAAGAATTATCAGTATTTTTAA